TCCTCCTTGCAGGTGAATCCCATCCTCCATCCTTTGTAGGCCTTTCTTTTTAGCTTCAGGAAGTCTGCTAGATCCCTGGAGAGCTGGGGAGGCTGCTGTGCCCTCTTGCTGCCTTTGCTCCAAGATGGAATCAAATTAGCTTGTGCATTGAGGATCGCTCCCTTGTTGAGCAACCACTCTTCTTGAACTCCCCTCTCTCTGGGGTCGTGGTCCCTTAGGGCCTCACTGACACGCCTCCCGAGCTTGTCAAATTCAGCTTCCCTGAAGTCAAGGACTTCCATGTTGCTGACTGACTTGCCAGCTTTACAGTGGATGGTGAAGGTGATCAACTCGTGGTCGCTGTCACCCAGCTTCCCATCGATCACTAGGTCGCCAATGAGGTCATCCCCTGTAGCCAATACCAGGTCGAACAGCGCTTTACCTCTTGTTGGCCCATAGACTTCTTGAGTCAGGTAGAGGTCATCCACACACAAGAGGAAGCTTTACGACCACTCAGATTTTGGTGAGTGATCCTCCCACAAGATGTCCCAGAGGGTCTCCAGTTGTCTACCCTGGTCGCCAATATCAGTTTGCAGGGACATGTAGCTTTCCTTAACATAGAGAGCTACACCCCCGCCCCTTTTATCTACACGATCCCTCCTGTACAGGGTATAGCCATCTATACCCATGGTCCAGTCATGGGTGGAGTTCCACCAGGTCTCCGTTATCCCTATGACATCATAATTATTTGCATTAAGCAGGAGGACAAGCTCCTCCTGCTTATTCCCCGAGCTCCTGGCATTTGTGTACAGGCAGGCAAGTGTCCCCTTGGGGGTTCTTGCCTTGCCCACAGATTGTACCAGGGCTGGGGCAGCGGTGGGCTCCCTTAAGTGCCTTGGCTTGCTGGCTTTGCAAGGGTTGCTTAGCGGGCCAGCAGTGGTGGTAGTCTCCCCCGTCCCCCAGCAGGCTTAATTTAAAGCCCGGTGGAGCAGGTCAGCTAGTCTGATAATTTGCTGTGGCATGGTTATTATGTACAAAGGGATCACTGCACCATCCCTGTAGTGTAGTGAGGAGTAGCTTTGCTTTATATTCCCAAGGAAGCCACTTCCTTCTCCACACTAGGTATAGTATAGGTCTTTTTGTGGGGTGGGGAAGGTTACTTAAGGTAGAACTAGTACTTATTTTGGCCTCTGGCAGGCATTTATGGCACAGTTGGGAATCTTATGGCAGGATGCATGGTTTTTGAGATGGTACATAAAATTCCTCAGATCCCAATCATGTAACTGCCAACACCAAACCTGCTGAACTGGGGCGGGGGGGCTGTCCTCTGCCTGATACTGTTGATCAGCTAGTCATTGGGGTTGGGCAGGGGCAGCCTGGGTCAAGACCTGAGGCTGTCCCCCGTGCCCAATCCTATGGATAGTGACAACAACAAGGTACTCCAGGCAGTAAGCCATTTTTAACCTCGTGTACACAAGGCCAGAACTTGTGCTTGCTTCTCGCATTCTCAGTAGCTTGCAAAGTGGAAAATGGGAAAGACGCAAGAACAGCAACAAAATAAAGTCATTATAAAACGTCAACGAGAGAGTTTCTTGCTTAGACTTGAAGGGAAAAAGAGCTGAGAATATGTAAAGAAGAAAGAGCAAACTGAGGGAGAACAAAGCATGCAAATGTGGATGATGGGGCATGTAATGCCCATGGTTGGCAAGGAAGATAATCCTGACTATCCAGATCATCCTAGGTATCTGGGTTGATGGCATTCAGATAATTGTACCAAGATAAAGTAGACCATGTGAACATGCTGGGTCTAGTGAGACCTCAGTTGAACCAGAGGGTCAAACTCCAAAAACTTAGAGCAAGTTTTGAAGTCTGCTGCCTGTCAATCTTCCATAATAATTGCTTGATGAAGAGAGAAGAGACAGATCACTCTCTTTAAGAGAATATAGCTTTCCTCCTATTACCAGTTTTCAGGTTGAGTTTTAGCTCTTGCTACAACTCTCCTAGACATTATTGCAACTGTGTTTGGAGTGGAAAGAGTTTTTTCTTGGGCTTGAGTGGAAGCTTCCCCTTTCCAAGGATCTGGGCAATTGGTGTAGGATTTGGAGAACCTTTTCCAGATGACATTTTCATGTTTCTCTGACTTTCTATTGTAGTCTCACGATGTGAAGGCTTTTTATTCCTGACACAGTTAATGTCTTTTTTGTAGCAGCTTGACCTCTGGTAGGGGATAGGCTGATTTTTCAGCATCTTGGGGCTCCTCCTCTTCTGGTAAGTGGTTTGAGAGGAAGCAAAGGACTTGATCCTTGTGGAAGGGCTTGGGTCTTCATTCATCGGTCAGCAGGAGCTAGATAGAATGCCTAACTACCCACAGCTGATGCTGCACACTTGTATACATGAGTGGGGACATTCAGTTTATTTGTCCCATCAGGGATTGAAGGGAAGGGCATGACTCATTCCTAGGAAGCTGCTTCATTCTAACTTATTCCTTAGTCTGAGAGACTTGCTTTCTTAAGTGACTTGGTGGTGGGGATCACAGGTCATTTGGGAGGCTAAGGGGACATGGAGTCCCAGAGTGTCTGCTGGACTCAAAACCCTTACACAAAATATATGCACTGGTTGGGAATAGTTATTGCAGAGTCCCCTGTCACCGTTGGTTTGCATGGAACAGACCTGCATTAGCTCAGGGCTTTTCCCTGCTCTGCCATTTTTTGGTGTCAGGGATGGAAGAGGCAAGTGCTTTGGTCTGTGTTGCTTTTGGGGTGTACAATAAGTTGGGTCCCCCCCAAACATAGGAAATAGCATTGGAAGAGGCCTGTTTGGACCACAAAGACCAGTCCCCAAAGAATGAAAAGCTTAGGTTACTCTGTGCTGCCCCGTGGTTATATGTTACTTCTCTATAATGGAGCACCAGAAAGCTGCTGTATTTAAATTCATGTAGGTTGAAGGGATGCAACTTAATTTAGGAGTCAGGTCATGAGTCTGGACTACATTTACTATCTACACTGGTAACATTTACAAACCTGACATTTAGGGGCAAAAATCCATTCTTATCTAAACTCCTCTCTGATGTTCTACAGTAGGTACAATGTCACCAACAGAATTCATGCTGGAGGAACACAACAAACAGGAAAAAATGATCTCTAGTGTGGCAGGGATCCAGCAATC